CCCGTAGTTTTAACTTTATCACCGGCGTTATCAGGGGACGTTATCAGGGGACGTTTCAATTGGACATTAGGAAGAATTTCTTCACTGAGAGAGTGGTTAGGCACTGGAATGGGCTGTCCAGGGGGGGGGTGGAGTCATCATCCCTGGAGGTGTTCAAAAACTGAGTAGATGTAGCACTTGAGGCTATGGTCTAGTGGAAAGGGAAATGTTGGGTTGGTGGTTGGCTTGAGCCTAAAGGTCCTATCCAACCATAGTGATTCTATGATTCTGTGATTGGCTGCTCCACCACCTGTGTCAGAAAATTATCATCAATGCACTGCAGGAAGCTTCTGGACTGTGTGTGCCTCACCGTGTTGCGTTTCTAGCAAATATCAGGGTGATTGAAGCCCTCCATGAGCACCAGGGCATGTGATCATGAGGCTACATTCAGCTGTCTGTAGAAGACCTCATTGTCTTCCTCATCCTGATTAGGTGGCATCTAGTAAATACCCACAACAGTGTCATACGTATTAGCCTGACCCTTAATTCTTAACCACAAGCTTTCAACATGTTCTTCATGGCTTCCCCAGGCAGAGCTCAATGCATTCCAGTTGCTCTCTCATATAAAGTGCAACTCCTCCATCATGCCTTGCTGGTCCGTTTGTCTTAAAAAGTATGCAGCTGTCCATGATAGCAGGACAAAATGCTGCCTTTTCAGCATGTGACTTTTTTTTTTTTTAACAATCCCTGGTATGTTTTCTGAAATATTTACAGGAAAGTAACACACTACAACTTAGGTGAGAGACAGTTAGACATTGATAGTCATGTTCTGTTATTCAAATTCACAGTCAGCAAAATGCCTGGCCACATCACATGCTGTCTTATACTAGCTAGTGCTTGGTCCAACATTTAAAAGCTTTCACCTTTCTCAAAATAGCATGCAACTACACTCCAAGCTAATTATTCATCAGCCAAAATATGTGGGTGATAGTCTGATGTCTGTCAGCATGGTAGGTCATAGAGCATTACAGTTAGCTGCAGGAACACAGGCCAAAAGCTGCATTATCGTGTCATATACCTTGCTTTCCAACTAGTTGGTGTATTTGGAATTCCTATATAGCTGAATGAGGACAAGTAACGCTATAAAACTGGCCTCAGAGCTAATTGTTGATTGTATCTTGGTCAATTCTGGATGTTTTGACTCCTTTTTTATGTAATTACATTCAGTTTTTCAATCTAATAACCAGGACCTAAACTAAATAATTATTTAGAGTTAGACATTAATGAAAACCACTATTAATAATGAGGCACTGAAACTAATTTTATGTGGAAGTTCACTGCTCAAGGTTGCTGTCAACAGATTAGGTATTCTGTAACAATATGCAGATGGCTGTTACAGTTTTTATTTGGTCTTTCTGTCTCATGCTTTATCACTAAAAATCAATCCAAAATAAACACAAGGAATGGATATCTCTGAGCCTGGGGAAAGTTTACATAAAGCTCCTGAATTTGTGCCCTTTATTTTAGCTGTTAGTCCACACATATAAAAATCTACACTTTAATGTTATGTTGATTTCTCATCAGCCTAAAATAAAGATTATGCATACTCCCAGAGTTATGCTTTGCAGGGAGAAAAAGCTGCATACAGTGTAACCCCGTGGCAGAATGAACCTAGTCTGGACGGTGCCCCACCGTGTTGGTGTGTTAGTATGCCACTGGTGTTAATGAAGTGTTGCATGAGAAGGGGTAAAATGTTTAGGAGGCAAAACAGGGCATTTATTGCAGCGGAACAGTGTACTTACTATAAAACAAGGGGACCTTAAAACACTATAAAATTCTTAAACCTCTTTCACTTTATACCTATCAAGGTCTCTTTTAATATCACAACTTATATACCCATAAGTGTTTTCCAGAATATTTTATTAAAATACATGTCATGATAAACAAAAGCTTCCTCATCTTTCCCTGCAGGTTATGTCTATTGTCTGCAACCCCCTTCTTATTAATATTTAAAGCTACATTTATATTTATACTATTACATCTGTCTTCTACATTACTGTCAACATTTTGCACAAAAATTATTAAAAGTTTCTTAGTGTAAGAAATTGTTCCAGGTATGACCACATGTCATCATGATTCCTTTTGATAAACTTCTTGATAATACATATTTTTTAATGTATGCTTGTTGGGGTTATTTACAGTTTTACAAATGCATATTTAGCTAATTGTTTTAGTATAGTCACAAGAAAAGTCATGAGAAAATAAACAAAAAACCAGTACGACCACAAATATTGAATTTTCTAGACTTTGACTCTGAATCAGTCAACCTACAAAGTCTATGAAACTCTGGAACTGGTTAAACATCTCATATTGACAGCTACAACTAATATATATACACACACATAAAGAAAATGTTCACTTGTATATGTCTATATTAATGTTTGTATAACTATGTACTTATGTACACATATAGAAACTGGATTAAAATACTTTTTGTTTTGAGGGCTTTATTATATATCTCTAACTCTGTTTCGATATTCAGTTTCAAATAACTTCAATTCTGATCAACCATGCCATAACTCCAACTGCATAACAAAAAATGTTTTCCAGTCTAATACACAGCTGAAGTTGAGAAAAAAAAAAAAAGTCATTTGTTCAGCCAGGAGGAAGTGGATGCTGATTAAAGTTGTGTACAGAGGTTACAGTTATGCATTTATCACTGTTCCAGAAAAACAAAACAAAACAAAACAAAAACCAAACAAAAAAAACCCCCCACCAAAACCAAACCAAACCCAAAATGTAATCTTAATAATATTTCTAATTTCTCAGCCTTATTGTTAAAGGTTTTATATAGTACACTAGTTTTACTGCAGCTTCCTTTTCATTTGGTTATTCATAAATTAAAATAAAACTCAATTCTGAAAGAAATTCTGAGTTTTTTTTTTTCAAACCACTTAATTCTTCTAACTTCTGCAGTCCTGCTATTCATGAAACAGAGCACATGAAGGAACTACTGAACTGTATTTTCAGTATCACAATGTGAAGAAACTAGCAACACCAGGTCAGATGCGTATGGTCAGGTTTTCTTATGGATATATTAAAAAAGTAGGTATCAGCCCTAAGTGGAAGTGTTCTTTCCCAGCTTTTTGTTATGCTGCATTTTCCTTCAATGTTACCTGTAACTATTTTATGTCTTACGCCTCTTTCAAACTCAATGGTAGCTTTTTTCACTAAACAGAATTCAAACAAATAGGAAAAGAAAAACCAAAAAGTTACAGTTAAGGGACATAATGGGCTAATTATATGTACTTAAGAGGAGAATGTACAATTTCCATCATTTCACGGAGCTCTAGTAGGAGAGGACTGTCAATATATGTATGTAGGCCAACCTGCCATCCAGGAGGGTCTGCAGTACTAATGGGGTACAAGGTTCTGACTGAGATCCATCTTGCAAAGATGACTGGGCAAAGACCATGAAACGGCTACAAAAGCAGGGAGGGGAAAATTCCTGAAGTGGTGATGTAAGTGATAACAAGGCAATCCAAACCACAGGACTAAGATTTCTAGTTTATTTTCTGCAAAAGTTAATTAATTTTATTTGCTGCTGC